CTCCTAAACCCCAAACCATTAAGCCCCAGAGCCCTGTACCCTCACACCCAAACCACTGAACCCTCTTGGTGAGTCCCTATACCCTAAACCATTAGCCCTAAACCCCTGAACCCCTAACCCTAAACCCTAAACCCTAAACCCTAAACCCTAAACCCAAAACCCTAAACCCTAAAACCCTAAAACTAATGCAAGTCAAGGCATTCGGCCCCCGGGGAGCTTCCCTGACAGCCTTCCCAGAGAGTCCAATATCCCTTAATTAAGGAATATACTAATAGGGTTTAGGGTTTAGGGTTTAGGGTTTAGGGTTTAGGGTTTAGGGTTTAGGGTTTAGGGTTAATATACCTTAAAACATATTAGGGATCCTACTATAATTCAAGGCATATTCCTTAACTAAGGGATATTGGAGTCTCTGGGTTAACCTTTCCTTCGATCATTCCATCTCTTAAACCGGTCCGTGAGATCCGCGGCCTGGCACCGTGGGCTTGGGCTTTGGAGAGACTTGCGGTTGGTGTTGAAACCCTGAACCCTAAACCCTAAACCTTAAACCCTGAACCCTAAACCCTAAACCCTAAACCCTAAACCCTAAACCCTAAACCTTAAACCCTAAACCCTAAACCCTAAACTAGGGTTTCGGGAATTTCGGGAGACTTTGGGGACGGAGGGTGCGGGGAGGGTTTGGGGGTTTGGGCGGGGATGAAGATAATGAATACATCTGGTGCCCGGAATTGGCATGAAACTCACCAGCTAGCACCAAGACTTAGACTGTTTTAGTATAACCAGTTACTGGGGGATAGGGCTCCGTTCGTTTCAATACCACGAGAGAGGCTCGTTCAGTACTGAAAACATAAAACACTGCAGCAGGCAACATGGATAAGACTGCTGAGTGTCGACAGCATCATGACGATGATGGCAAGAAGGAATTACACGGACGATCGTTGCTCCATCACCTAAACCGCACTAGACCCTCCTAAACCTCCCTAACCCACCCTGACAGACTCAAAACCTTGTAAATCCAATGGACGCCCGATAACATCCGGATCTCCGTAAACCCCTGTACTGCAGGAATACCGCATTTTTGCTATTGCACTACTACTGTACTATGACTGTACTATGACTGTACTACTACTGTACCACTCCTCCTGCTGCCACTTCGACTACTACTACCACCACCACCACCACCACGACTGCTACTACTCCTCCTCCTCCTCCGGCTGCTCGTCGGGGTCCATCCTCCTCGCTGGCGGAGTCATCTGCAGCATCCAGAATGTCTCCCAGCTTGCGCTGGATTTTTTTTTGTAAGTAGTTGCCCGACGGTGCAGCACTGGAAGCATCTGTGTACGTGTAGGAGTAGCTGCTAGCGCTTGCTGCATCATCATCATCATCCATCTCGGATTCGGAAGGGGTATCGACCTCGGGATACTGAACCCTCTAGAGCTTAAGCCCCTAGAATAATAAGTAATATTCAAAGAAATAAATATGAGCTTAAACCCCTCTAATCCAAGGCTCCTTGACGACCACCACCTTCGGCTTCGGCTGCAGCTTGGGCACAGGCAGGACGGAGTTGGGCTTCTTTGCACCGCCCTTTCCTGCAGTGCCCGCCCCCTTTGCTGAAGAGGCTGCTGCGGGGTCCAGCTTCCTCAAGCAGACGTTGAGTTGGGGCATATCCAAGTGCAGCCAATCAGTCACCTCACTTCGCGGGTTAATCCAGTGCTCCATGTCAATGTGCCAATATATCATCGACAGCACGTAGCAGGCAAGCTACCTTCTTGTGTGCTTGTCCGAGTCAGTCAGGCTCGAATCGGCCCAGGGCGCGAGAGCGCTCGAGGAATTTGCTGCCATCAGACAGCGAGGTGGCCCAAAACCCCAGAGGCAGGGGTGGGCGGGAACATGTTCTGGCTTTGCCGGGGGATGGCACGAAACCCGATGAAACCTTTTTGCTGAGTGGCTTCTATACAAAAAACAGATAATTAAACATGCCTCACCACACATGCAACAAAGCAGTGTCGTGGAAGCACCCCCGAACCAGTGATTGCAATCCAAAACCGGCTTTCAACAAATGACCCTAAATCCTAAAACCTAAACCCCTAAACCCCCAAACCCTAAACCCTAAATACCTAAACCCCTAAACCCCTAAACCCCTGAACCCCTAAACCCCAATTTCCTGAAGCTGACACCTTTAACTAAAGCCTTTACTGTAGGGACCTAAGTACCAATCTCATTTTGGGGGTTCCGTTGTTGATGCTATAAACCCTCCATTTCCCTGAGGACCCTAAAATATGGAAATTATGGTATATTCCTTATTCTGGGTAATGCAGGATTTATGTCATCAACCATTTATTGTAGCTATGGCATAATATACTCCAAGACATGTTCTACCCTAAACCCTAAACCCTAAACCCTAAACTAATTATGAAGGCCCCTATATTGACCCTTAACCGCGCCCTGGTTGAAGGGCCTGTTTCGCTTCGTCCTGCGCGGCCTTGACAACGGATTTCTGGGCATTCTGCCTGGGTGTGCCTGTCTTGGGGTTTAGTGTTTAGGGTTTAGGGTTTAGGGTTTAGGTATATAGTAAAGAGGTGCTGTAGGGTTACAATGACCAGCAAAAAAAAGCACAGAAACAAAATAGCCAAGGAAAGGAAACACTATGGAGACTATCGACGGTCTGAGGGGGCTTACTTGGATGTTCATGGGTGGTTATAAGTGGAGTTATAAGTCCCCTAATGTAGGTTATATCTATAGTTACCCTACTTATAACCCTACTTATAACTACCCATGAACCTCCAAGGAGAGTTCAGGGCATAGGGATGAACATTTGGGTAGTGTTCTAAATTAGGGTCCCCATTTAGCTCCCTAATAGAGTACGGCACCCTTATAAGAAGGACCCTAAAAGGGACCCTAATTTAGAGAACTACCCAGTTGCGGATTCGAGCTGAAGCTTCACGGCTTAGGGCTGAGGGCCTACGGTTTAAGGTTTAGGGCTCAGCGTTTCTGGGTTTAGGGCTTGAGAAGTCAACTTATCATACCCTAAACCCTAAACCCTAAACCCTAAACCCCTAAACCCCTAAACCCTAAACCCCTAAACCCTAAACCCTAAACCCCTAAACCGTCTTTTGAGCTGGGGCGGAATTTTTCTGCGAGCCTCGGGTCCACGGGCTGCGAAGTTGCGAGGGAAGGGCTTCAATGGCTAGAGCCGCTGACTGGGCTTTGAAGTAACCAGGGGGAGAAAAGCATAGACTCTTATTTCATAATGCCTCCTTTAAGGAACAGACCCCCCCAAAAAAAGTAGTAAAGCATGGTACTCCAGAGCCCAGCACGGAATCTACCCCACATTTTTGTTTATGGTCCCTCATGTGGGGATGGGGGAATATCGTTCTTCTTGGCTAGAACAGCGATGTCAAAAGAAGGGTCCGAACGCCTGCGATAAGGCCTGTGGCCTGCAGCATTAAACCCTAATGTAGAGGCCTTGATAATGAGAATAAGGTTTTGGGGTTCATTATACTGCAAAAATCACACGGAACCCCCAAAACACTATAGGTACTTATTCAGGCCCCTACACTAAACGCCACGGCCGAGCGCCTACTTCGGACCAGTCGTCGTCGTCCGTAAGCGTCGGCTTTTCCTTGGCACTTCCCAGAAGCTGGTCCTGCAAGCGGCTTTTTACTTGGAGGCCGTTTGCAGTAGGCTTTTGGGGTATATTATGCTATAACTATAATAAGGAACCCACCCAAAATAGTATAGGTAATTATTAGAATAGGCGTTCAACCCTAAACTCTTAAACCTTATAGTATCGGGACTCAATGGGTCATGGGCTTACTAGTTCTTCGCAGAGCCCTTGCTGGGCTTCGTTTAGAAGCTCCTATACCTGAACCCTCAACCCTAAACGGGTCTAGGTTTTGGGGTTAAACCCTAAACCATGTACTGTCTCGGTGTTCAGAACCACTTAGTTTTTGTTTAGGGTTTAGGGTTTAGGGTTAAACCCTAAACCATGTACTGTCTCGCTGTTCAGAACCACTTGGTTTCTGTCAGCTTTGTAATTGTAAGGCGGCCAATAAGATCCCCGCTAGACTCCGGGACCTTAAGCCCTCAACCTCAACCCTGAATGCGACCAGTCATTACTCTTGGAATCAGGTTGCCGGCGCAAGGATGAGGCTGCAAGAAGACACGTCAGGTTCTAGAGTTAAGGGCTCAGGGTTTGCATTGTGGGTTCCAGTGCCCTAGCTGCCCACTGCAAGATCCCAGTCCCTTACTCAATCCGCCAAACCCTTAAAGCAATCCCTATAACCCGAAACCCTAAACCCTATACCCTAAACCCTAAGCCTTTACAGTAATCCCTAAGTGAGGCTGCGAGGCTTGGTCCTCCAGCTTCCGAAGCGAGCGCAGCACAACCTGGCTTCTGCGCTGTCGAGTTTCGAGAACTGTTCATCTAGTTCTCGGCGAAAGCAGGCGTGAAACATATCCTTTAGGATTCACGTCTATGGTCTAGGGCTTGGGGTTTAGGGTTTCGGGCCGGTTTCGGGTGTTGCATTTTCGGTTTGGGTGTGCAGGGGAACCATATGGTGAGATTGCCGGTTCCAGTCGCTCCTGAACCCTAAACATTTGAACCTTCAACCCCAGACACTAAGCCTCAAGCTCTAAATTCGAAGAGTATGAGTACTCGGAGAGGAGGACCAGAATCCGTCACAGCCGTCGATGCAGGGCAAATGTGAGGGAACTCTATAGTACTCCATGTACGTCTAAACCGGAGTTTCCCAGGCATTTAATGTAGGGGCCTGAATAATTAGAATAGGGGGTCCTTATTATAATTATGCTACAATAGACCCGAGAACCCTATTCTAACTATTAAGGCCCCTATAGTATAGGGGTTCCTCGGATGTTTATATTATCGGGCGTCATAATTGGACCAGAATTCCGGGGCCGCAGACAAGCAATAACAACGGCAAGTTGAATGTTGTTGTTTGCAACATGATAATATAAGGGGCCGAAATAATTACCAATACTATTGGGGGTCCTTATTATAGGTATAGTAGAACTGGCCCCAAAGCCCTATTCTAATTATGCTGGCTCCTATACTACTACCGCCGTGTGTGCATACTGATGCAGCGACGTTAGGCCAAGTTGTGGAGGTTCGTTCCAGCTGCGCGATTGTAAGCGCCCACAGCCGGCAAGGCGCAGTCAGCGGTGGCCCAATCGGCCAGGGTCCGCCCTAATTACCCCGAGCAGTAGCCTTTAAGCGGAATTGCTGCCTGGACGGAATGAGCAGTGCAAATTGCCTTGCACCTGGTCGCTTCGTCTCGCTTGCCGGTCATGCCCGCGGACAACGCTTTCTTGACATCGGACACGGTGAGGGCACGGACATCGTCGACACCATAGGCAATGTCGGATTTGAGCTCCGGGATCACGGGCCTTTGCCTCCAAGTTGAGGGCTTCAAAAATTATCAACTCCGGGCAGGCGGCTATTGAAGCCGTGGGCCCTGACGAATTTTTCGGTCTCCTGCAGGAGGTGAGCAGTTTGCCCACCACTGTAACGCAAAATGAACACGAACAGTGCCGGCACGGTCGCGGCACTCCTGGGCTTCGACCGGAGAACTGGGTCTTTGATGTCCGCATAAGTGATGGTGCTGTTTCCCAATGTCATCTGCCGCGCGACTTCTGCATGGATTTTGCGACAGCTGCAGTTCCGATTCTTCTCTTGCTACGTGCCCAATGGCATTGGCCGGGGCCTGTGAAAGCAAAAAGGAGATACTACTCTACCCTAAACCCTAAACCCTAAACCCTAAACCCTAAACCCTAAACCTATAAACTCATCCTTCCGACACCCGAAAACGAAGCCTACGACCTTGACGCCGGAAACCTGGAATCCTGAGCCAGACCGGCAGGCTCCAAATCCCTACATAGACCGCTTAGGCTTAGGGCTTAGGGCTTAGGGTTTAGGGTTTAGGGCTTACAGGCACTGTTATTCTGAACTCTAGTGCCGACATCGGACAAGGTTTTGGGTTGGGATTTAGGGGCGTGCAGCTAAACGGGTTTAGGGTTGTGCGGTTATATAAGGAGGTAGAGGTAAGCCCCAATCCCTAAACCCGCTAAATCTCCTATGCAAATCGAAACGTCAGCAAAAGACCTCGGACTCACGAGTGCCGGCATCTGCATGCTGCGCCAGGAGGGCGCGCAATGGTGGCCTGATCTTCAAACACGAGTCGTTTGGGAAGGGCTTCTGGTTTTCAAGCTTGTCGGCCTCAGTGGTAAGCTTGTAAGCATCTAGCTTTGGGCGTCGTGGGTTCAGAGTTCCAGGGATTGCAGATTTCGAATGACGAGGATTTGGATGTGCAAGCCCTGAGCTAGCGCTGTCAGGATAAGTTTCGACTTTACAGAGGGCATAGGCTTGACCATGGCAAGAGATAATGCAGACCCCTGAGTAACCGACCCTCGTTCCCTAAAAATGACTGCGAAAGGAATCCAACAGTTAAGGTGTTCAAGGAAAGAGGGGTTGTCAATCAGGGCTCTAGAGTATAATTAATAAAGAACCGGAACTCTCTACGTCAACTGGAACTTTGCTGGTAGGAGAATTTTGAAGTCACACGCCCGCCGTAAATCCCACGCCCCCTTTGCACAAGGGTTTCGGGATCTGAACCTACTTGTAGTTTCCATTGCAGTTGCTTTCCACTTATTGCTTTGACCGTATAACCAATTCTATATTTAGCACCCTGCAAGGTAACCCCCAAAACGACCTACGTTGGAGACCATAGGTAATGTAGGTGCCTAAATGATCACCTGTACTATCTTGGGGGCTCCTTCTTGTAGTGATAGTATAATGGGCCCCAAAACCCTATTCGAGTAATTAAGGCCCCTATATTAAACCCTGAGCCCTCAAACCCAAAAGCCATAGTTTGCTGCAGAAACGAGGGTGTCCGAAAGATCGAGTTCCAAGAGGGTACCGGAATCGTGGGCAAGGTCGGAAATTCGTGGGCAAGGTTGGAAATTCGTGGACAAGGTCGGAAATTCGTGGGCAAGGCTCGAAAAGAGGGTTTGCTTTTGGGGGTGGGGGGCCTGGAAAATGGCAAAAGGCAAACCCCCTCTTTCGGCTCGAAAAGGTGCGTTTGCTTTTGGGAGTGGGGGGACCTGGACAATGGTCAAAAGCAAACCCTCAATCTCGGCTCGAGAATTGGGGCTTGTGGCCGATCTTATTCAACGAAGACTTGACCTTATTAACATCTCGTGGTACTGGAATAACATAGCGTATTGCGGTAATGGAAGCTGTAAATGAACGGCTTTCTGGGTTTAGAGCTCTTGGGTTGGAACTGAACGACATCCAAAGGTGAAAGGAATTCATTTGTTATGAAGAAGAAGCCTGATGTTATGGGATTCTGAGGATGGGTGGGTGTTCTGTCCAGAATACAACTCTACTTAAAAACTGCTCGATCCGGAGCTGCTGAACCCTAAACCCTAAAGCCTAAACCCTTAACCCTAAACCCTCTAGACAAGGAGCAGAGCCGGCATCATCCGCTGCAGGATATCCTGGGCTTTGAAATATAACCAGGGGGAAAAAAGTATAGACTTTTTCATAATGGCTCCTTTAAGGAACAGGTCCCCAAAAAAAGTACTAAAGTATGGTACTCCAAAGCCCAGTATCCTCCTTTCGCGTGGAGGCGATCAGGGCCAAAGTCTCGGACACCTGGGTCGGCAAGGGACTTTGGGCGTAGGGCTTTTGGGGTTTGGGGTTTAGGGTTCAGGTCTGGGTGAGTGTTTTTGGTGCAGGGTTTTTGTGATTTAGGTTTATGAAGGCCTACAGGCTTTGGCAAGTCTCTTTGGATGTAGGTTTGGGGGTTTAGGGCTTTGGGTTTTGGGATCTACAAGAAGGGCAACCAGCAGGGTTACTTGTAGTCTATACAGGGTTCTGGTTGCTTTGAGCTTGGGCTTTAGGGCTGTAGGATCTAGCCAGGCAAGTTTTGGGACTTCGAATCTCAGCATCTAGGGCTTTGGAGGGGAAGGTTTAGGGTTTGAGGATCTACGTCTTTGAGAGATTAGGGCTTAAGGTTGGGCAGCAAATCGATAATCAAATCCTGCAAACATGGAGAAAGCTTAAGCATCGAAGACCTATCTTTGGAAGATAGTGATTTCTGGCCTTGGGCGGCAGCATATTCTGGCCGAGCCCTCTTGCCAAAAGCGGAGGCCGTCGGACTTGATGCTCAACACCATTTCCTGGACCTCCTGCTGTGGGTTCTCCACCACAAACCAGGCCAAAAACTGGTGTTTAGAGTTTAGGGTTTAGGGGTTAGGGGTTATGGAGCAACTCCGTGCAGTGTAAACGGATCATGGGGACACCAAGAACATGAGTTGGCCTCACTCCTAAACCCCTAAACCCTATTGCTATCTCAGGCAAGCCCTCCTCGGCACCTTCCTCTTTCGGAGCATGACGGGCTTTGGATCTCGGGTTTGGGTGTCCGAGCGTACATGGCATAACCGAGCGTCTTGAACCCCTAAGAATCCCACACTCTAAACTCTAAGCTCTACTAGCAGATGCTGAGATGTTGTCTTACACCGCAAAAAAGCACCTAAACCCAGTGGAAACAACTTAAATTCCCTAAGAGCTTCCTCCGCCGTGGACTGCCGCTGCATCGAGACTATGCCAGGATAGTTGTTGGTCGATACAAAGCTGAAAGAAACACACAATCTCCTGCATCGTCTTGAAATGTGATATTCATAACCGACTGCTTTCGTCACGTCATTCGAACAGTAGCCGTCATGAGTGGTCTGTGCTTTCAAAAGAAAGTTGTGGACCAGAACACTAAGACTTGAAGAGCCATCCAGCACTCGTCCGCTATGAGTAACCATAACCCATACCTATAGCTACCTTACTTTTCACACCATTTGCTGCGTAACCTGACTTTGACCACCTGCATTCGAACACTCGGCCCCTGAAGCGCGTTCTCCTGAGCCCCTACTGTAAGGGTGCATGTACCCAACTAGTATGCTTTGACCAGAAAGTACCTGTATGGGGACTGCTCTAAGGCCAAATTAGCTACTGCTATTTGAGCTCGTAGACCTTTGAAGGCCAAGCAGAACAAGCAGTAAACTCAGTAAACTTCAGTAAACACTACAAAAATAATTCCAACGCCAGCCCTAAGCCATCTAAGCCATCTGCCCCCCCCCGGAAGCCCCTAGACCCCTAAACTCAACCCCACGGTACCAAATCCACAAAACCCCTAGCCCTATGCCCTAAACCCTAAACTCCAACCAGAAACGGACCCTTAGTCCCCTCTTTTAATGCAACCCTGAAGAACATATGACAGTAATACTAATAGCCCAATAACCATAGTGGCGGCCGGACGAGTAACAACCCCCTGTAGAGCGACGGTAGAACCTGCACCCCAAACACCCCTAAACCCCACAAAGCCCAAAACCCCAGAGCCCTCACTCCTAAACCCTAGACCCCAAACCTCAAACCCTCGACCCGAAGCTTACAATAAACCCTAACACACCAGAATCCTAGAACCCTAAACCGTAGAACCCTAAACCCCAAACCCAAAACCCTAAAGTTCTAAGACCCCCAAACCCTAAAACCCCAGAGCCCTGGAACCCTAAACCCTGAACCCAAGGGAAACCCTGCAAAGGGGAGCCCTCAACCCTGGCTTAGGGTTTAGGTTGTGGGTTTAGGGCTTGGGGTTTGGGGTTTAGGGTTTAGGGTTTAGGGTTTAGGGTTTAGGGTTTAGGGTTTAGGGGCCTTAGGGATGTAACCCAAAAGCCCCGCAAAGCTCTGTCGAGTCGCCGCGATGAGGACGTCAGGACGCTTCGCGTGCCGCTCGAGGGCTGACGTCATCACCTCTTTTGGCTAGGGTTCAGGGCTACACTTGGAGGTTCATGGGTAGTTATAAATGGAGTTATTATGAAAAATTACTGCAAAGTAACCTGCAGAACGGAACAACTTTGGACTCTATGGATAAACCCTGAACCCTGAAAGGCCTAAAACCCTTGAATTTCCGAAACTCTAAACCCTAAACCCTGAACCCTAAACCCTAATCCCTAAACCCTAATCCCTAAACCAGTTCGGGAAGAGGTGCGTTGATGCCGCCGTACTTCGCCGCGGAGATGGCGCAGGCATCTGAGGCCACGCAGAGGCCGCCCAGCCTGCGGCTCCCAGAAGGCGCCAAAACGGCTGGGTTTTGGGCTTATAGGCTTTAGGGTTTATAAGCTTTAGGGTTTAGGGTTTAGGGTTTAGGGTTTATAGGGTTTATAGGCTTCAAGGTTTAAAGGGTTTATAAGATTGAAGTGTGCGATCTCTCGGAA